TAGTTGGATGAGGTGTGTTGGGAGCTGGGAAAATATCACAATGTACAGGGCAGTGGGCCTGCAGAACCAGGGTTAGGTTATTAATTTATTAATTTAACTCTTAATCCTTAATTATTGTTCCTAATTATTGTTAAGACTGTAAAGAAAGCCGTATAATTCTTCACGCTGACTCATAGGATTGAGTTTTCTCTGAGATGCGCTCTTATGTAGTGCTGAGTAAAATGTTCTCACCACACTCTTTTTCTGCCGGCAGTGACACAGACTGACGGTAAAGGCCCCTCGTTTGTGGTATCGTACTCAAACGCTAGACCACCGACCTACAAAGAGAAAAAATGCGACCCTGCAGCGCAAAGAAAACCACATGTTTCCACTGAGATGTTTCTGATGCAAAAATAAGATCAGGGCTTGGTCTTCTTTGTGGTGTCACATTTGATACATTTGACACATTTGAGGATTGTTTTTTACAGACTCACACAGACACACGCACTGTGACAAAACAAGACTCAGAGAAATGCAAGTACATGCAATGCAATATGTTCAGAGTCGCCCTGTAACATCACGAGTGCGTTGTGTCTGTGGTACATTTCTCTCATAGCTTATGCAATGTACTGTGGACTCTAGGTGTCCAGTAATTACAGTGTAAGTGTATAGAAGTACTTGAATATTATGCATTGCACACTGTTTTATACCTTACATAATTCTCCATGACCTCCTGCACACACCATCCTTGTCACTGAGTACTCATTTTACCACTTTTCATGAGATTTAGTTTAGTTTATGATGCTGACATTTAGTGTCATTAGAACTTTACTGGATTTTTCTTTGTTTTTTTTGTGTTTCCCAGTCTGCAACACTGCAGACTGATTTGGCCATGACATCTGATATGTTGTCTTTGTGCTAATTTCAATTAAATATAGGGTTTAAATGATCTGCACATCATTGCATTGTTTATATTTACATTCTGCACAGCGTCCCAACTGTTTTGGAAATGGGATTGTACCTTCATTAGTAGTAATAGTGAAACAGAGTTGGGAGAGCAGGAGACATGGTGGCTCCTTCCAACACAGGTGGAAGAAGAAACACTCATATAGGTAATTATTCTGTACTGAATAAGTCAACATTGACAATAGCAAAAGATGATAACAATCAGTAGTTGGTAGCAGAGGATGAGAACATTGCATGACTGGATGGATGGTAGGATTTGTGTGTGTGTGTGTATATATACTGTATAAATAAATAAATAAATAAACAAACATATATATTTATACAGTATATATATGCACACACTATATAGCCAAAAGTATGTGGTTACCTCTTTTAATTAAAATTCAGGTTGCCAAAAGGTGTATAAATCAAACACATGGACATGCAAACTCCATAGACATACACTGGCAGCAAAATGGGTTATACTGAAGAGCTTGGTGACTTTAAATGTGCCACTATTAGAGGATGTCACCTTTGCCACAAGTCAATTCGTGTAATTTCTGCCCTGCGAGGGCTACCCTGGTCAACTGTAAGTGCTATCATTGTGAAGAGAAAGCAACAACAGGTTAGCCACAAAGCGGTAGACCACACAAACTCAAAAAGTGAGGCCGCCAACTGCTGAACCGCATAGCTCCTGAAAATCACTTAGCATCTCCAGCACAAGAACTGTCTGTCAGGAGCTTCATGAAATGGGCTTCCATAGCTGAGGTTTCGATAGTTGGATGGAGTGGTGTAAAGCACGCTGCCCCTGGACTCTAGAGCAGTGAATCATGCTTCACTGTCTGTCAATCTGATGGATCAATCATGGTTTGGCAAGTGCCAAGAAAATGCTACCTTTTTGATTGCAAGCAGGAGGGATAATGGTCTGGGCTGTTTTTCAGGGTTTGGGCTCAGGCCATTTAGCTCCAGTGAAGGGTGATGTTAATGCTACAGCATACAAGGATATTTTAGACAATTACATGCTTCCAGCTTTGTGACAGCAGTTTGGGGAAGGCTCTCTCGAGCATGACTGCACCACTGAGCACAAAGTGAGGTCCGTAAAGACATGTTTGATGACTTTGTTGTGGAGAAACTGCAGTGGCCTGCACAGAGCCCTGACCTCAACCTCATCAAACAACTTTGAGATGAATTGGAACGTAGATCGCAAGCCAGACATCAGTGCCTGACCTCACAAATGCTTATTTGACTGAATTTACAAAAATTCTCACCAAAATCTTGTGGAAAGTCTTCACAAAATAGTGGAGGCTGTTATAAACAAAAAGGAGGGCCACCTCTATATTAATTTCTATGGTTTTGGAATGGGATATCCAACTTGCATGGGTGTGACGGTCAAGTGTCCACATACTTTTGCCAATATATATATATATATATATATATATATATATATATATACACACACACACACACACACACTGTATGGCCACAAGTATGTGATGATGAAATGAACAGTAATATGTATTGAAAGAATATTGATATTCATGGGATCAATATTTGTATATTTGTATACAATGAAAAGAGACATTTCTAAAAACATTGCAGAGGTTTTCACATGTTATTGTTACTACTAGGTTGGGAATGGTGCACCACCCAAAAAGAGTAATTGTGTCATTATGTGGGGGCCCTTTTCTTTCTTCAGAAATCCCAGGCCACATCATTCTGAATGTAAAGGTGACCCTGACCTGTTAAACTGAAGCATGACTAAGCAAAGAGCTTACTGATTCCTGCCGTCACGACGAAGTGTTCAGACATGAGAAAGCGGCCGCAGAGGTGCTTCTTTTTTCTTTGAACAGAAACCATGTGGGGCCTGGAGTGTGGTTAAACCTCTGTGTCATCCACTAAGCCCATGTCCACAGAAGCTGTTTCGAGGATAAAGAGGTGAAAGAAAGGCTGCGCTTCATTCTTCTCTTTGTAGAGGTGAAGCAGTTTTACTTGAGTGCTTTGAATAGAATAATATTGTTCATCCAACACATTTCTAATGTTAACGTCATCGGCAGCAGCCGGTGATGTTCTGTCACAGCGAAAGCGAAAACAGAGATGGAGTGAAGACTGGAGTGAGTTAAAGTGGGTGTCGTAAAGCAGGGAAAGCACTAAGGCAGAGTAAGCGGCCTCCGGGGCCAGGATTGAGAAAGACTGAAATTTAGCCTATTAGATGGAGTGAACAAGTCAACTGTACCTATTCATGTCCAAAAATGAATGTGATTGGGAAAATTCCTCGCAACTTGTGCTGATTGGTTGAACTCCTTAAATGGCCAGGGCCCACTGGCAGGCCCAAAGTTTTATTACACACTTCTATAACTTAAGAATAGCTCACTGAAGCTTGCATTGAAGTCCCTGTAGTTACTGGATAATAAGCCTTAGTATATAACAAGCCTGGGACTTTAAGGGGTTAATTGTGGTGAAATATAATATAAAGTAAAACTATATTATATGTAGTCTAAAGCCCAATCCCATTTCTTCTTTTTACCCCTACCCCTTGTTTTCAAGTGTCACCCTAACCCTTCGGAGAGTTACAAAGGGTAGTGGATGAAATCTTGCCCTACGAAATGGGACCCTCAAAAAAACAACAACAAAAAAAAAAAACACTGCTTCATTAACAGGCTACTAGCGCTGCTCTATAGACAACCTGGCCCATCTGCAGTGATAGCAGAGGAGGGTAAAGTTCAGCAACCTCACTGCTGGGCTTTAGCTACATTTAGGGCATCATATGATTCACCAGCTTCTTGTTTAAATTTTCCCGTTCCACCTTAAATGATGCAGCAGTTACCTTTTGGCGCTTCAGGCATCAGAACTGCTGGAAGAATGGGAAAAATAGCCAGCTAGCTACCAAGACATTAACATACTTTAGATTAAACTAAGCTAATACAATGGTTATCGTAATTTTTAACAGAGCAAATTCTCACATTTGTGGGTTTCTTTGGTTGCTTGTTCAGCCATCTTGCTGGTTTTTCTGTTTTTTCTCATAACACTCTGTTTGGAGTGTCTCTGAAAAACCTCCACTTGGAAGGGTGTTATGACCCTATGGGTCATAGTTTTTGTAGTGTGTTTTTTGTATTTATTGCAGAGCTGAGGGAAGATGCACTGAGCCACCACCAGGGGGAGCCGCCAATAAAAGAGAGACGCCCAGGCGGAAGTGGGGGGTGCTTTTGCTTCTGGCGTGGCTTCTGTTGCGTTCCCGGTTCCCTGCAGTCACTTGAGCGACACTACTGTAGAGCTGTGTTGGTGTGAGAGCTTCGCTACCGGTGTAAGGTTTATTGGTGTTTTGCTGTTTGTCATTGAGATTTTTGTAAAAGCTGACTCATGCCGTTACTCTTTCACTGAAATATACTGTAAACACTCAGCTACCGTGGCTGCCCAGACAATAGCTCTTGTACATAAACTCTCATTGGGGAAGAGGGGGTTATTTTTTTTGTTGTGTTTTTCTCTTGGTTTGCTTTAGTTAGGAAGTTAGGTTAGAAATTGTATTTGATTTTCTTTTGTTTGTTAGGTAAGTTATATTTTTCTAAACTTAAGTTAGCTGTGTTTTTGTTTGTTATTTTACTCTTCCCTCCCCTACCATTTCATAAATGTCTAAAGCCTTGAACTCTTGAAAATAAAGCCAAATTGTTATTGTTGCAAACATTGGTTGTCTGTGTAACTTGGGGAACCGGGAGGGCATGGAGGTCTCTTTATTTTTATGTTGCGGCCCGACCTAGACCGGGTCGTAACATAAATTGGGGGCTCGTCCTGCTCGTCCTTTCGTTTTGGCTGCTCCTGTTGTGGCTCCTGTTGGCGGTTTTCTTTTGTGTGTGGGGGTATGTTGTGGTGATGGCTTTTGAACTTGAAAAGTTTGTTTTGGCTCCTTCTGTGCGCGCTTTTGACCTGTGCCGTAAGGATGACTTACTGCAATTGGCTGGATTTTATAATGTTACTGTACCACGTTCGGCCCGTAAAGGTGTGATAAGGGAAGCGGTGTATCAGAAGCTGGTTGATGAGGGGGTTCTGCCTGCGTTACCGGAGTCAGTTGAACCAGGTGTTGCCTCTGGAGAGGAGGATGTGTTGGTGGAAGTGAGAACGACTTCTCCAACATCTCCATCTGCTTCTGGCATAGATCCTGGCGGTATGGCTCGTACTGCTTTACGGTCTACTTCTACTGCTTTTACTCCCGCTCGCGACGTTGATCCTAACTCAGATCCTGTCGAGAAGCTTTGGCTGACTATACGTCTGGAGGAGTTGAAGTTAGCTGTTAAGCGTCAAGAGCATGAGACGGAATTGCTCTGTTTGCGCGCTGCCGAACGGCGGGTTGCTGCACCCCCGTTGCCTTCTACCACGCCTGCTTCTGCCCCTAGTATTGCTCCCGGTGTGGAGGACACCTCTGTTCCCGCCCCCGCTGTCACCCCTGGGTTCGACGCGAGTAAGTACATCAGTCTTGTTCCTCCATTTAGAGAAACTGAAGTTGACTCGTACTTCGCAGCCTTTGAACGCATAGCAACGGCTCTTCAGTGGCCGAAAGAGGTCTGGGCTTTACTTTTACAGTGTAAGCTGGTAGGTAAAGCCCAGGAGGTTTGCGCTGCTTTATCAATTGACCACAGTTTAGACTATGCTAAGATTAAAGCCACGGTGTTGCGCGCATATGAACTTGTGCTTGAAGCATACCGACAAAAATTTAGAAACCACGTGAATACCGCCAATCAGACCTTTGTGGAGTTTGCCCGAGAAAAAAAACGTTCTGTTTGATAAATGGTGTGTCACCAGTAAAGTGGATAGTTTTGCACAGTTGAAGGAACTGATTCTTTTAGAAGAGTTTAAAAGTGGTTTGCCTGAACGTCTGGTGGTGTATTTAAATGAGCAAAAGGTGTTATCTCTTTCACAAGCAGCAGTACTTGCTGATGAATTTGTGCTGACACACAAGCATGTTTTTTCTTCGTCCCCTCGCCAAAATTCTAGCCCACCGAGGCGACTTCGATCTAGAAATTATCAGCATTCTAGCAAAAATTCCAATTCGGCTCGTACTGTGTCTAGTAGCCCGCGGGCTTGTTTTTACTGTCGGGAAACGGATCATTTAATTGCTACATGCCCCGCGTTAGAAGCAAAGCCTCCCCACTCTCAGTCGAAGTCCTCTGTAAAAGCGCCTAAAACTGTTGGTTTTATTGGTGCTTCAAAGTCAAATGTCCTGTCGACCGACGAGAGTGCACCAGATTCAGTTTATGAACCTTTTATACTAGATGGTTTGGTCTCGCTTACGGGTGAGGAAAAAGATCAGATTCCAGTTAAAATACTAAGGGATACGGGTGTAAATGACCCTAAAAAGAGGCATTTTCTTTGTGTTTATTTCTCAACTTTGCTTTGAGTGTACACGTAAGAATACGCTGGCTTTTAATTTGGCGAGTGCTGTTGTGTACTGGCTCATGTTACTGCGCATGTGCAAGAAATGGAGGGAAAACGCAGTTCATGAAGATAAACACGCTGAAAGGTTCTCACTGAAAACTGCAAATTTAGCACCTAGCTGAAGGTGAACAAGGTAATTTGCTAAACTAAAATGTATTTTTTATTTTGATGATTCTACTTTTTTAAAGAGCTTGTAGAGTACTCGTAAGGTGTTTCTCTGATAATGTATACTGTGCTTATGTGACCCATACAATGTAAGCCGCTCCCGCGAATTTTCAGTCTCATTGTTCTATACTCTTAAATTTTAAATATTCAAGGGTCAAGCTTGTGTTGTCAATGGTTTCAAGAAGTAAGATATGTTTGTCAAAATATCAACTTTAGATTGAGCGAACTAATGGTTTCAACCATCCTTTGTGTTGTTTTAATTCAGCTCTTACGGTGAATTCATGAAACGTAAGGAAATAAACCTTCATGAATCATCAGTTCTTGAGTTGACCGTCATTCGGCTGGGGTTGCTACAGTAAGAGCTTGACTCTCATCAATCCTGACGACTGCTGCACGTAAGGCTGATGTTAACGACGAAAGGTTTCCACGGCGGCACTTCATCTCGCGTTGCTGACTTCCAGTCATCCCACGGCTCAACGCAAGGTCTTCAACGGTAGCTTTGCGCCCCATACAGGCAGCAGTGAAATGGATCTGGTGCGATGGTCTAAATATGTCATGGTTATGAACAGTTGCAATAAGCAAATCAGTGAGTATTATCTGCAAGGTGAGAACTGATCAGTAAAGGCTGCTGCAGAAGAAATATTTTCTCAATTCTCAAGTGACTGTTTTTAAGTCTGCTTTCACGGCTCAAGAAAACAGAAACTGTAAACATGTGTTTTGCTTAACGGACATGCATTAGGAATCAAAACACGATTCATGAATGGGCATTTCAAGGACATTGCATAATTTTCTAATCCAGTATAGTGTAAGCATCTGTATTGCTATGTAGCAGTGCTAATTTCCTTAGAGTTTTAGGGCTGCTTTGGTGTGTTACCGTTACTGATTGGTAGATGCACTGTCATGTTTTTTGTTTTACTAACTTTTATTGCAAACAAAGGGTAAAATGACAGAACCAGTTACTTTCTCTTTAAATTCTGAACAGTCTGAAACGCAAATCAACAGTCTCCAGCAGGACATTCAGAAACTTGAGCATATGTTTCAAAATGAATCTAAAACTTCAGAGAAACAACGACTAGAAGAATTGATTAAAGCCAAGCAGCAAATGTTGAGTAATTTACAAGGTCAGTTTCAAGAGTTTCAAAAAGAATTCAGCATACCTCGTCGCTCTGAACGAACACCGAATCCCACAGAGAAAATGCTCACCTTTCAAAAAGAGGAGGCTGAGAAAAAGGAAAGGAAGCTTGCTTCCATGTACAACCAGTGGAAATTCCAGGCCCGTAATGCACGCCAGCAGCTTAAAAATGACATTTCAGAGAGTCAGTTAGCCATTCTTGTTGACACTTTAGAAAAGGCAAGGAATGATGTTGTGGACATTTATGATGAAATCAAGCATCACATGGCACCTTCACCTGAAATACGACGGCAAGTGGATGCATGTGGCTCAGTAACAGCAGACATTATCAAAATTGCTTATGAAAGGATAGCAGGCGTTGATGGAGAGTTCAATGCTGAAAGGGAAAGAAGTCGACTCCGCACGCTGCTTGATTGTGACCACGCTCATTCCATTTATGGATCTACCGTCTCACGAGTGAGTTGTGAGTCCAGCACCCATTCAAGTCATCACTCCATGACTTCATGCTTGGCAGCCAAATGTGCAGATGCTGCAGCAGATGTGGCAGCTAAGGAAGCTATATATGAAGTGTTACTGGAAGAAAATAAACAAAAAGAAAAGATCCAGCATTTAGAAGAACAACATAAACGAGCCCTTGAAGCTCAAAAGCGTGAACTAGAACAGCTACAAGCAGAGAAGGATTTAAAGGCAGCACAAGCTAGGCTAGGGATCTACAGTCAAGAAGTGGTATGCAAAACTAGTGACCTGTCCATCACTTGTGACCTCAAAGGAGAACAGTGCATGATTCAACCCTCCTTACAACAGTCTTCCAATGTCGTAGCTACAACACCACAGGCAGACATGTCTTCCCTTACCCAAGCCTTTCAAGACAGCATAGCTCTAAATAGGCTTCCAGTGCCAGAACCATTTGTGTTTAGTGGTGATCCAATTCAATTCATTGAGTGGAAATCCTCCTTTATGTCGCTTATCGACCGAAAGATTGTTTCATCTGCTGACAAGCTGTATTATCTCAAGAAATATGTAAGTGGTCCAGCTCGTAAGACCTTGGATGGTACCTTTTACAGAAATGATAACGAAGCCTATCAAGATGCTTGGAACAAACTGGATCATTGTTATGGCCAACCATTTATCATACAAAGGGTGTTTAGAGAGAGGCTCACAAAATGGCCAAAAATTCAATCTAAGGATGCCATGGGGCTGCGAGATTTTTCAGATTTTTTGAATGCCTGTTTGGATGCCATGCCTCATGTTAAGGGTCTCCAAATATTAAATGATTGCGAAGAGAACCAGAAGCTTGTGCAGAAATTCTCGTTGGAATAGACAAGCTACACAAACACTGAATCAAAGTCAAGAATTCTCTACTTTTCAGGAATTTGCTTCTTTTGTGTCAATGGAAGCAGAGGTTGCCTGTAATCCAATAACCTCTTTCCATGCTCTCCGTTCTTCAGAACCTGCTCATGAGAGACAAACCCTCAGGGAGGTCAAGAGAAACAAGGCCAGTGTTTTTAGCACTCAAACAAACACAGACTGTGAATTTCAAGGGTTAGCAAAGCCAGCTGTGAAACAGTTATGTATGTTTTGTCAAGACAGCAAACATCAGCTTCACAACTGTTCCAAATTCACAGTCAAGTCCCTAGAGGAACGCCGAAAATTTGTTCAGGAGAAGAAACTCTGTTATGGGTGTCTAAAGCCTGGGCATAGTGCAAGAGACTGCCGTCATCGTCTCATGTGCACCAGATGCAAAGGAAAGCACCCCATGTGTCTTCATGATGATACCTATGTAAAAGGTGAGAAACCTGCATCCACTATGGTTTCAGCACAATCTAATACCAGTGACACAATGACTGCTGTTGCTCTCAACGTGACCGGAGAAGGTCAGTCTACCAGCACATCAATGATTGTGCCTGTATGGGTCTCGTCAAAGAATAATCCAAGTTCTGAAAAACTTGTATATGCTCTGCTTGACACCCAGAGTGATACTACATTCATTGACCAAGGAGTGAGTGATGGTCTACAAGCAGACACATACCCAGTGAGATTGAAATTGACCACCATGATTGGTAAGGACACAGTTCTAAAGAGTGAAAGGGTGTCAGGGCTGTGTGTAAGAGGTTATACTTCTACTGTTCACATTGACCTGCCTCCTGTGTACACCAAGGACTGCATACCAGTAATTCATACCCATATTCCTACTTGTGACACAGCTAAGTATTGGAAGCATCTTGAAACCATTGTAGATGAAATTCCCCCACTAAAGGATTGTGAGGTTGGCCTCTTAATAGGCTACAACTGTTCAAGGGCCTTGGCAACAAGGCAAGTAATTGTAGGTGGACCTGATGAACCATATGCTGTGCAAACTGATTTGGGATGGAGCATTGTGGGATGTTCATTGCCATGCCTTGATGTACCTAAAGCTAGCAGCATGTGTCATCGGGTGGCTGTCAAGGAGCTTCCTCCAGTCACTCCAGCAGACGCTGTTCTCATTTTGGAGTCTGATTTTAAAGACACAAATGACACAAGCAGGAAAGTGTCCCATGATGATATTCTTTTTCTGACCA